AGCACTAGGCCCATCAAGAAGACAAAGCAAGAGCCCGACAGAGCATCTCCTGAGGTAGAAGTTCAGAAGGCTCCACCAAAGGTCGACTCCATTGCGCTCGACACCCGTTTTGACCAAGACGAACCGGCCAGCAGCGAGCAAATCCCCCTCCGACCTATTCCGGACGGTGATTTCGAACTCGTTCCCCTCGGAGCAGACCCGACCAAGGGAGTGAAGATCGGCAAAGACCTCCCCGACTTGGCCAGGAAGCAAATCAAGGCCTGTCTGCGCGAGAATGCTGATCTCTTCGCCTGGAGCGCTGCAGAGATGCCCGGACTCGACCCTGAGGTCGCCTGTCATCACCTCGCCATTGATCCAGCCGCCAAGGCAGTAGTACAACGTAGGCGTAGGCAGTCTCCAGAAAAAACGGAGGCTGCTGAAAAAGCTGTAAAAGACCTCTTAGAGGCAAATTTTATTTCTGAAGCCCGGTATTCCACCTGGCTGTCAAATGTTGTACTTGTCAAAAAGAATAATGGAAAATGGCGAATGTGTGTTGATTATACCGATCTCAATCGGGCTTGCCCGAAGGATGCTTTTCCTCTTCCAAACATTGATATGCTGGTCGACAACTCGGCCGGCTACAAAACTTTGTCGTTCATGGACGCTTACTCGGGATACAATCAAATCCCAATGGCTTCGGGCGACAAACGCTGCACGGCGTTCATGACCAGCTCGGGCAACTATTACTACAACGTAATGCCCTTCGGACTAAAGAACGCCGGCGCAACGTACCAACGCATGATGAACAAAGTGTTCAACAAACAGATCGGCGACATGCTCGAGGTATACATGGACGACATGATCGTCAAATCTCGAGCAGACACCGATCACGCAGCTCATCTCAAGACTGTCTTCGCCCAAGCAAGACAATGCAAAATGAGGTTCAACCCGGAGAAGTGCACGTTCGGGGTCAAGGCAGGAAAATTCCTCGGATTCTATCTAACAGAACGAGGGATCGAAGCCAACCCCGACAAGTGCCGAGCATTCGCCGACCTCCCGACTCCAACGTCGAAGAAGTCGATACAGATAATGAACGACATGTTGACATCGCTTTCACGCTTCGTCGCGAAGTCCGCTCAGCACGCCCTTCCCTTTTTCAAACTCCTTCGAAAGGAAGCAGCCTTCGAATGGACCGAGGAATGCGAGCACGCACTTCGCCATCTGAAGCAGAGCCTATCTCAACCGCCCGTGCTCTCTCGACCAGATGACAACGAGCCACTTTACCTATACTTGGCAGTTTCAAACGAAGCCATCAGTGCAGCTCTTGTCCGCGAGACTCCCGACGGGCAGAAACCTGTCTACTTCACGAGCAAAGCCTTACAAGGCCCCGAGAGCAGGTATCAACAGATAGAAAAGGTTGCACTGGCCCTCGTCAACGCTGCGAGGAGGCTCAGACACTACTTTCTAGCACACACCATTGTCGTGCGAACCGATCAACCGGTGAGACAACTCCTGGGTCGGCCAGATATGGCAGGCAGAATGCTTAAGTGGTCCCTCGAACTCTCCGAATTCGACATTCAGTACGAGAGCAGGAAAGCCCTGAAAGCACAAGCCTTGGCCGACTTCGTCGCCGAGATGACCTCTAACGACATTCCCCCGGGAAAGGAACACAACTGGACCATCTTCGTCGACGGAGCCTCCAGCTCGTCCGGAAGCGGCGCAGGGATCCTCCTGGAAAACGAAGAAGGGGTGGTAATCGAACACTCCTTGGTTCTCTCCTTCCCGACATCAAATAACCAGGCAGAATACGAAGCCCTACTCGCGGGTCTGAGATTGGCCGAGGACCTAGGAGCCCGCGAAGTTCAAATTTACACCGACTCCCAGCTCGTCGCTTCCCAAGTACGAGGAAGCTACCAGGCCAAGAATGACAACCTCATTGAGTACTTGAACTTAGTCAAAAAACACATGGCAAAGTTCGTACGAGCAGAAATCTCTCATGTTCCCCGCGAGCAGAACACGAGGGCGGACATATTGTCCAAACTCGCGAGCACACGAAAGAAAGGCGGGAATAAATCCGTCATCCAGGAATCTCTGGCACGGCCGAGCATCGAACCACCCTCGACTACGGTCGAGGTTCATGCTATCGGGGACGCCACGTCTTGGATGACCCCGGTCTATAATTTCCTCACAAAGGGAGAACTCCCGACGAACCAGGCCGACGCAGCCACAATAAAGCGGCGAGCATGTTCTTACGTTGTTCTCGAGCAGAAACTGTACAGAAGGGGATTCTCCATTCCCCTCCTGAAATGCATTGACGAGTCCTCCATCCCCGACGTATTGCGGGAGATACATGAAGGTATCAACGCCCAGCACATGGCCGGTAAATCCTTGGCGAGGAAAGCCCTCCGAGCAGGATACTACTGGCCGACGATGCAACAGGACGCCAAGGAACACGTGAAAAAATGTGACAAGTGCCAGAAGCACGGGGATATGCACCTCGCTCCCCCACACGAGCTGAGCACATTGTCATCCCCATGGCCGTTCGCCTGGTGGGGCATGGACATCCTCGGACCCTTCGTGCAAGGGACCTATCAGAACAAGTTCCTAATCGTCGCCGTGGATTACTTCACAAAATGGATCGAGGCCGAGGCCCTCGCGAAAATCACCTCACATAACATCCTCCGTTTCTACAAAAGAAACGTGCTCGCCAGGTTCGGAATTCCGCAGGCACTGGTGACCGACAACGGCACCCAGTTCACCGACCACGGATTCCGAGACTTCGTCACCAAACTGGGGACCAAACATCACTTCACATCGGTCGAGCACCCTCAGACCAACGGGCAAGCCGAAGCCGCGAACAGAGTCATCCTCCGAGGGCTCAAACGTCGACTCGGCGAAGCCAAAAGGGGATGGGTGGAGGAGCTCCACAGCGTCCTGTGGGCATACCGCACCACACCCCACTCAACGACGGGTGAAACACCATTCCGACTAACGTACGGTACCGAAGCCGTCATCCCGGTCGAAATCATGGAACCATCACGTCGAACGGAAGAGCCCCTCGACGAAGAGATGAATGACGAAGCACTAAGGGATGAACTCGACCTAGTCGAGGAAATCCGATCGGGGGCTGCCCTGCGCGAAGCAACCCTGAAACAAAGAGTGGCCCTACGCCACAACGACAAGGTCATCAAATGCGAGTTCGACATAGGCAGCCTGGTACTACGCAGAAACCAGAAAGACTCCCGCGAAGGGAAGTTGGCCGCGAACTGGGAAGGACCTTACCGCGTCCACGGCACCACGGGTACCGGGGCATACTACCTCGAGCAGTTAGACGGAGAGCCATTACCAAGACCCTGGAATGCTGCTAAGTTGAAGCAATACTACAGTTAGAAACTGTCAACACATAGGACCCTCGACCAGAGGCGACCACGCTCGGGCAACGAGGAAAAACGTCCAATTTCGTTTAAGGCTAAGGTACAGGCCCGACACACGACCAAAATGGCACGGCATCGCGCGGTAGACGTTGACGATCGATAGTGCCCGACGTGGACAGCTGTACCGAGCCCCACCGTCGTCGTACCCATAAGGCAGAACACCCAGCTCGCGATGGGCAGTTCACGCCAAGGGCGAATCGTCCCTACGGGCTCCACGCCCGACTGAGCAACCTCGCTCCAAAATGCCCGATATTCCATCAAGAATAACGGGACATCTACAAGGGTCAAAAGAAAATCTCTCCCCTCGAGCGCAGCACTTAAGCAACCCCGGCCAACCAAAATAGGCCCGAGATTGCACACAAATCGTGACGAGCATAGTCGCTCGCCAAATCAGAGCCACCTACGGGCACTCCTCGGGCCCGGGACTTGAGCTAAATTCATACAAGCATGTGAGTTCATACAAGGGCAGAAAATCCAAAATAAACAAGGTATAAACGCCCGAAGGCAACAAAGCAATATTAAACCGACCAAGAAGGCCGGCGATGTTCATACATGCAATAAACGGGCACGCAGGCCCAAAGAATACAAATTCAAATATCAAGGGCACGCAGGCCCGCTATCCAAAGAATACAAATCAAACCTCCACATTATCATCATTGTCGACGCCGGGAGAGTCGGGCGGGGGAATGATCGCGCCACCGACAACCCGATGGGTGTGCCCGATGCCCTCGGTGACCAGGCCGGGATTTAGCAATGAGAGCTGGTCGACTGCAGAATTGAACCCGTCTTCCAGGGAACCGACTGCGTCCTCCTCGAGGTTCCGGATATGGGCAATAAGCTCAGCCCGACTCTTCAAAACCACCAGGTCCTCGGGCTCATCTTCGGCGGGTTGTTGAACAGCATTCAGTTCCTCAACCTGCTTGCCCAGGCGTTCGACTTCAGCAACCAAACGATCCCTGTCGGTCCGGAGCAACTCCCCTTCCTCGGTCAACCGCCCCGACTTCTCCTTTTCCAAGGTCAGCATCTCCCTCTCGGCGTCCAGTATCGCGGTCTGCTCCTGGAACATCCCCTCGGAGCGTTCCAGAGCGACCTTCAACTTCCGTGAGCTCGCAGTCAAGGCCGCCTTCTCCCGCTCGAGCTCTTCAACACGAGCAGCATCCCCTGCATCCTCAGACAATACCAGAGCCATTTCGGCCATTTTAACCAGCCCGTCCACGCTGGCGACCAACCGCGACTTCCTCTCCTCCTTAGTCATCCTCTTTATAGCCTCGGCTTCATGAACGACCACGGTCGGAGGGAACCGCTCGAAAAAGCCCTCCTCCTCGAAGCAAGGGGGGAAGGCAAAGGATTGAACAGGACCGGTATCTTCCCCGACATTCGAACCGCCTTCCACGCGGGTCCTTTTCCTCTGCGTCAGAACGGCGCTGGCGTCAATCACCTCGACCTCTGGATCTGACGCCGCCCCCGAGCTCGACGTCGAATCCACCCTCACAGGCTGAGGAGCGTTCAGATTTGTTGGTGGACCCATTCTCGTCGTCTGAGGGGCCTGCACGACCCTCTTGCCTCGCCTCTGGCCGGCTGACAGTTTCAGGAGCCTTTCATGTCGGCTAGCCATCGTACCTGCACGCGGTAAAAGAAAAGTCAGTATCGAGCAAAACGCGTAAATAAATGACGAGTAAAGAATTTCAAACAAACAACCTAACAGGCGGGCTGCCTGCCTATATGTCGAACATTCCACCAACGCCTTGGTGTCGATCGGGCGAGCCTCGAATGTTGGATAACCGTCCTTGTCGAGGATATCATTCCCTTCCCGTGTAACCCACTGGGCGGGATGAAAACTGTCGACGAAGTTGCAGAGAGCCTCATACGCCCGCTGATCCTCCGTGCACATATCCCCGACTGCGGTATGGAAATAACCTGTTCCATGCTCGAAGTGCCGGGACATCCAGTACACTGGGAACTTAGCCCGACGTCCTAACACGGGGCTCCCGTCGTCGGTCAACATTGCCTCCCCGTCATCATCACTGACCGGCCCTTCCTCCTCGAAGAGGGAATCTACAGCAGAGTCGGTAGTAGGGCATACCACATACCACTTATCCTTGAACCCCCTCACAGAGTCCATGTACATCCTAAACAGTCTCCTCGACTGCTTCAGAGACACCCAGCTGTGCTTCCCTCCTCGGGACTGACGCTGTAGGTGGAAGACCCGAAAAAAGAGAGGGATGGTCGCCCCTATCCTTAAATAGCGACACGTCAGCTCAAACGCCCGGATGAAGGCGAGAGAGTTTGGGTGTAGCTGGGACGGGGCCAGCTCCAAATGCGTAAAGACCCCGGTCTCAAAGTCTGTGAACGGCAGCCGCATCCCCAAGTCCTTAAACGCGATCTCGTACATCGCAAAGCCGTAGTCCGGGTACATTGAACAAATTCTGGCGTTGGTCGACGGCAGCATGACCACAAAATTTTGCTGGAAGTCAGGCTGGTCCTGCCCCTCTTTGATATCGGTGAACGGGCGTCGGTCATCCCGACTGTAGATCGACGCCGTCCCTCTAGGCTCGGCGCCCACCCATTCCAGCGATGGGTCGGTCACGGTGTCTATAAGGTTGGCCGACTCGTCGGCACTCTGTTCTTCGCTATCACGACGACCGGAGGTGCTCGGCTCATCCGCCATGGTTACCTGCAGAGCACGGGAAACCAATCAGATTGAGCATGAAGTCCTATGCTCGACATAATCATGTCGCCCGTACACTACTACACATCCATTTTCACAAGTGAATGTCTCCCCGACTCTCCTGAACCCAGTGTTCTTCCTCAAACCAACTGCGCGACCATTCTTCAAATATGTCGACCCGAGGTATGAACATGGCGAGCCGCACTATGAAGCCCACGGCCACGACCATAAACATACCGGGCACCGGCATGAATCAGGCGCCCAGGATCATGAAGACCCCGGGCAGCTCCGAAGTTTTTCACCTAAAACTATGAATGTGCCGGCCACAAGTATGCGTTTGCCGGTCCTGGACATGAATCTGTCGGGCAAAACACGAGTTTACCGGGCTAATCCCACATTAACGGTCCTAAAACATCTACAATTTCCAAGAATCATGCATTCTAAAACAGGAGAATAAAGAAAATGGATCACTTACTTGGATCAAAGTTGGGATTTGGCTAAGAAATGAAGAATCGGAGACGGGAAGTCACGGTTGGAGAGAGTGTTGAAAGTTGCAACGAAGAGAGCACGGAGAACGGAAAACGTATTATGGGGCCCAAGGACCCTATTTATAGTGATGACGTGGAATACCAAACGTCACCTCGTTCAGCCACGGACTCCATCTCCTCGCCGCACCGCTCCCAACGCAATGATGGCCCTACCCCCCTAGGGTGGCGGCACAGCTCCCAAAAGATGCCTCGCGTGTTCGACCAACGCGCCCGGTACGGATCCTCCACGCATCCACCACCGAGGACGCTCCCGAGCACGACACGAGGAGGCCCTCGAGGGCCCACGCCTCCATTCCGGGCACAAGACCTCAGCAACGGAACGACTTGGTTTCAAGTCATGACTCCTCGCAAAGGAATCACGACTTGGGGGGCTCCTGTTCTGGACTGGGCCCGACAGGCCCAAAAGCATTACTAAGGCCCAGTCCAAAGGGACTCACTAAGGACACACTGGGCAAAGGGGGTCACGTTCATGCCCGACACCCTGATGTCCACCTCGACATCTCGGTGTCTAGTCCCACGCGACGAAGTCATGCTCGACAGGCTGCCGTCCAACTCCATATCCTGGCTTCCAGCTCGACACTCGCTGTCCAGCTCGAGGTCTTGGCGTCGAGCTCGGCACCGTGCTGCGCAGCTCGACACGGGCTCGAGCTACCTTGCTAGGGCAGACTCAGTCACCCTTGCCCCAACGATACTCCGGAAAGACCGCGTCTCCGTCCGCCCGCACTTCACGCAGCACATCCAGGAAGGGGACCACGTGCTGGTCCCCACTACCCACGTAGGACCTGGCAGTTCCTCCATTGGGCCAAATCCGCCCGGCCCAATGAAGGAACCTTGGCCCAGCGCTGGGGGCTATAAATACCCTCTGCTTCCAGAGGGTCAGGGATTGATCATTCTAACCTCAACTCTATTATCTGCTAGTACTCCCACTGACTTAAGCATCGGAGTGCCTTGCAGGTACCCCCCCCTCCTCGTTCAAAAAGCCTTCAGCTCGGAGCAGCCGTGACGGTCCAAACCTTCTGATCAGGTCAGATCAATAATGAATGAGAAAGACTGAATAATGTTGAACACTTAAAAGATTAATATGATTTTTAAAAGATTAAGGATCAAATCAAACCCAAAAAATAAACAAAAAAATTATTTAGCCAAACGATATGTTCAGAAATAAAAAATTTAGAGTTTTTCCATGCACTTTTTATTTTTAAAAAAATTAGAACAAATGATATTTTAGAATTTCAATGATTGTGGAGATATAGTGATAAATTACTTGGATATACAAAATATGAGTAAGATTTGCCTATAATCAATGCCTAAATGGTTTAGTAACTTTGCATTCACAACTAATTTTAGGCTATTGAAAATCTAAACTAAACTAAAATTGACAGGTTAACTTTAGATCAGTATTTTCATATATGAAAACTATACTAGATATAATGAACATGTCCAATAAGGTATAGATAACCAAATAAAGGAATACAAATATCATATTGTAATATTTCATAACAAAAGAGCAAAATCAGGGTTGACTTTTTAAAATGAAAGTAGATATTACTGAGATTTACAACACTCACACAGACCAAACACAATTCATTTGCTAAAAATTTCATCTCCTAATAATATATTTGAAAAAACTAAACAAAATGATCTAAAAAATACTAATTTTTACATTGCGTAATGATGTAATGGAAGTTGAAGAAGTTTAAGGCCAAACAAAATCCACACATACCCTGGATTCAAATTCCAAATGAGTATTATCAATCACTATTTTTTCATTTTTCAACGGTTTTCTGTGAGCAACAGTAGCATCAGATGCAGAAGAAGAAAGAGAAGATGGAGGATACGCTGCTAGTAGAGCTGTAGCATCCCTCTCATGGATCCAAAGAAGGTCTGTAAATAAAAGTATGAGCGAAGCCATTTGAAGTAAGTTTCAAGATTAATTGTATGATGTTTATGGTTATAGGATGATGATTTGAAAAGTAATATATAGAGAGTGAATGAACGAAGATGATGTGAGTAAAGTAAAATGGTGACAGATTCTGTTAGCTGGAGCTGCTGTTTCGTTTGCATAAATAAGTTATAAAAAATAAAAAAAGAAGAAACTTTTGGTTTGTATTCTATTCTAATGAATTGTTGTAGTTACCGCCGATTGTTTTCTATGTCTGTTGTTTGCGACATGTATATGGAAAGTCAAAACCAGGTTTTTAGAGACCCGGTTTCTATTTGCCCAACTAATCCTCAATTTATGTATATTGAATATGTTGACTCAGGCTAACAAGTAAAACCACCCAAAAGATAAGTATCTTCTCAATTCAGCTTTATATTTATTTTAACATTTTTCTTCTTTGTTTCTATCTTTAACTTTCATCAACTTATCAACAAAATGTAAAAAAATAAATAAAATTGCATGTATTATAATAAAATTTATATAAAAATAGAAGATGTCTCGAGAATAAAATGTGCCGCTATTTTTTTTAGATGACAAAATCAATCTTCTTAAAATTACATTTATAGATTTAGAGGAGACAACATTGCTATTTGTAAATTTTTGGACTCTCACTAAAAAATCAATTACTTATGGTGTTAGGAAATCAAAAGTGTAAAAAACAAATGGTATAAAAGTATGTTGATTTTCGGAACAAACTTTTTTCATGTTTGACCACTTTACTTGAGATATAACTTTGAGAGTTATCCATTACACAGTAAAATCTCCGGTCTTCAATCCCACTAATGGAGAAACTCCAATCAAATTCACAAAAACATGTTTCCTCCTACCCACCCATACACCAGAACATCTGTTGGTTTAAGTGTTGATCTCTCCTCATGTAGATCAATCAAGAAGAAGATTAAATTGACTTAAATTGCAATACTACAAAAATCACATCTAACGTCGGATGCGAAATGCATTTGACCTCGGCTACGAAAGACGTCATAAAAAGCTACCACTTAACATCTTGGTTATTTAAACATCGAGGGTTGAATTTATCTGCACGTGGGCTCGATCCCCATCATCTGTATTTTCATTATTTTCAGAATTGGATGACGCACCCAATATTAACACTCAATATTTTGTAGAACCGAGGTAATATCTTAATGTTATTACCTCGATTTTATGTAAAAATCGAGGGGATAATTTTTTTTGTATTGTCATTTTCACATGTATTTTAGAACCATATTACACAATATAGAACCACATTTTGCATATTCCCGAAGCAAAAATATTGTATATTTTATCAATTTCTCAATTTAAAAAATTGTACCCCACAAATGTTCATTGATTACACCAAATACAAACCCAAAATGACACTCACTTTATAATTTTACATCAAAGTTAAAACAAACAATTAACCAACAAAATCAATAACCAAAATGTAAACATTTGTAGATTGTCCAATAAGATTTGTCATTGGTCGTTAAGTACCTATAATTTGAACAACATTTAAAACTAATTAGGATAATCAACAAAAACTTTAAATTTATAGTACAATGATTAAAAAGGAGTAAAATGATTAATTATAAATTACTAAGGAATATAAAACATTTACTTACTAGTTTTCTCATATCTCCTCTTCATGATCACGACGAATAACATGCACATCATCTGAATCATTTTCTTCAGATGATTGACATACATGTGTTATCAAACGAGGCATCTCATAGTTAAAATCTTGATTTTCACCAGTACTATCGAGAAGATGTTTTCCTTGAAGAACAATGGACCATATAGTGTTAGAAGGATTAATGACATAAAAAACTTGTTTTGCTTGGGTTGCCACGATGAATGGTTCGTTCTTATAAGTTGCCTTTCGAATATCAACCTGTGCGAATCCTAATTTAATGGTTTCTACACTAATGTTATTGTCAATTCACTCGCACTTAAATAAAGGCACTTTAAAAGAAACATAGTCAATCTCCAAAATCTCCTCTATGACCCCAAAGTACGCTCTAGATGCTAGTACATGATTGTTATCTTTGAAACTAGACAAGTACATGGATTCAATCTCAACCATAACCCTATTATTTTACATGGTTCTACGGTCATCCTTTGATTTTGTATACAATGAATATTTACTAATGTTGTATGTACTCCAAGTAATCACATTAAACTTAGGCATACGTGGCAACCATTTGCAAGTATCTGATACACTACTCTCTTTAGAAATACTTTCATTAAACCAAGTTATGAAAGTTTTGTTATACTCTGTCAACAATCATTTTTCATTCATCTAGAGGAATTTTTACTTTATAATACTTTTTCAAGTGGTCAAGTAAGGTTGAACTTTATTAAGGTTATTCAATATATACAAACGCGCTTGAAGAATTACTTCTCGATCAAATGTCTTAACATTTAAACCTTGAATACCTCTACCATTATAACATTCATCATGACGAGACTCAATAATTTCTATAAAGTTCACTTTTGACAAATGATTTGTACAAAACTCAATAGCTTCTTCTGTGATGTACCTTTCTAAGATCGAAGCTTTCAGACACTAATGATTCTTTGTATACCCTTAGAAATCTTCATGTGATACTCTACTGGATACATCCACCATAAATAAACTGGACCACAAATTCTAATATCCTTTACTAGATGAACAACTAAGTGAACCATAATGTCAAAGAATGATGGAGTGTTCCAATCAAACTATCACATACATTTTTCGCGGGATTTCTTAGTATCTTTTGTCGTATACCTACCACAACCATATCTTCGCGATATTTCTTAGTATCTTTTGTATTGCCTTTAATGTTGAGAAGTGATCCAATCAAACTATCACATATGTTTTTCTCCACAAGCATCACACCAAGATAATATGTTACATCAAGACTAGACCAGTATGGAAGATCAACGAATACCGACCTCTTTTTCCAAATATTTTTCTCCACGAACTTTTTTTGTTTCTTTCCAAAGAAAATATTAATGCGTTGTTGTCTTTTATCAACTTCCTTCCCGATTAAGAGCTTTGGAGCGATATCAAACTTCTTCTCTCCATTAAAAGCCCCCTGCAATCTATGATATGGATGATTAGGCCTTAGAAATTTTTGATGCCCAAGATAAATTGTCTTTTTCCTATTTGTAATTGGTGGTGACGTGTATCATATTCATATATAGGACACACTTTATGTCCATTGACACTGTACTCAGACAAATTATTGTATGCAGGAAAATCATTGATTGTGAAAAACAACATGACACACAACTTAAAGTTATCACATGTATACACATCATCAACATCAACACATTCCTCCCATAAAAGTCTTAAATCTTCAATCACTGGCTTTAAATAAACATATATGTCATTTCCTGGTTGTTTTGGACCTGAAATCATCATCGATAATATCATATACTCGCACTTCATGCACAACCATGAAGATAGGTTGTAAATTATGAGAAGAAAAAGTTATGACGTATGGATAGTACTAAAATTACCAAAAGAGTTCATTTCGTCGGTGGAAAGTCCAAGTCTAAGTTTCCTCGGTTCAAGGGGAAAATCTAGAAACAAGGAATCAATTTTCTTCCATTGCACTGAATCAGCTACATGGCAAATTTTTCCATCACATACACTTTCATCTGTATGCCATCTAGTATTCTTCCTGTCACTAACATTAATAAAAAATCTCTTTAACCTTGGAATTATCGGTAGGTACCATATCACCTTGGCAGGAACACCCTTGCTAGTTACACCATCATCGTTATCAACACCATTGTCATTCTGCTTGTAGCGTGACTCCCCACACCTCGGGCACTCCTTCGAGTTTCAAACCATTTCTTATTATAAGATACAATCATTACGACATATATGTATTTTGACATATTCCAAACCCATTAGGAACTATCTTCTTGGCCTCATAAGTATGGTTCGACAACGTGTTACCTTCGGGAAATATTTCTTTCAACAATTCAAGCAATTCAGTGAAACTTTTATTTGTCCACCCACCTCTTACCTTAAGATTAAATAGTCTTAACATAGTTGACAATTTTATAAAAAATTTACATTTCGGATACAACAAATCTTCCACGTCTCTTCGCAAAGTATATACCATATTAGCTTTCTTGAAAGTATCTACTCCAATATCACGAATGATTTCTTCTAGAGTATCATTCATAAATTCATCATCTTCAATTTCATGTCACAAATGTCTCTTTTTTGTCCCTTCACCATGTCATACTCATTTCGTGTAATTTTGAATAATTCCGTCACAACCACAATGATTAAATATAACATTCCTTGGATGTTTTTTCATATTATAATATTTTTTACAGTGACACCAAAAAATCTCATTATTTTCAGGAAGGTTTTTTCCTCAAAATCAAGAAATTGTATCACTCCATTCTCACACTCTTTACTTAATCTATTGACTTTCATTCAACTACGATCCATAATAACATAAAGCTTCTGAAAATAAAATAAAAAACAACAAACAAAAATAAAGAACAACAGTAATGGACAAAAACAACATCAACAACAACAACAAGAACAATAGTAATGGAGAACAACAATAATAATAATGGACAAAAATAACAACAACAACAAGAACAACCTACCAGTGAATAGTGGTGAGAGAGTTTTTTCGTTCGCTAGGGCTTCCGTCCTCCTTGGAGAATAATGGTGTTCTTTCGTTGGCTGGAGAAGAAGTGTTCTTTTGCTAGGGCTCGAAAA